GTTTCTGACTTTGTGGGCCCTGTGGCCTCTGCTGTAGGTAGCGTGGATGAGCGCAGCTGTGTTCCGGTAGAACTTTACATGATCACGGAAAGTTGAATTTCATATACTTTAGCCACGTCACAAAATTTCAGCCGTTTTCACTGTTTAAAAACGTGTAACGGGTTCTCAGCCGACAGACCGTGAACCAGGTCCAGCTCGTCGGCTGCTCGGGTCTGGGCGCGGCGTGGCTCCTGCTCCCCCCGTGGAAGGTGCTGGGGTCCTGCGGCGGGGGCGTCGTACCCAGCAGAGTCCTCAGTGACGCAGCTCAGGCACCTGCCCCGCGTGGCCCGTCCGCTGTGGCTGCTCTGAGGGCCCTGGAGTCCTGGGCCTCCGTGCAGAGTGGCGACAGAGGAGATGTACTGGCCGCGGGGTTTCTGGCGGGTCGCCTGTGGTCTGGTCAGCCCTGCGCCCCTCCCCTGCCACCCACTCATGTCCAGGGCTCAGCTGCTCCAAGGATGTGAAGATTCAGGAGACAGTGAGGCCGTTTCTCTTTTCTGGGTGTTCTTTTGAATTTTTATGTCGAAGTTAACCCTCTGTTCCCTCTGGCCTGGTGTTCTGAGCACTTATCTCTCTGCTGCTGAGATTCCCCTGTGGCTGGAAGAACTACCTGGGGGGCGCGGTGAGGCTCCGGCTGCCTGCACGCGCGCCCGCCCCCCGTCCCGCGCGCTGAGGTCCTGCTTTGACGTCACCTCGTCAGGAACAAAGAACTGCGTGATGGGTTGGGGAATTTATTTTCTTTCAGCTCCCGATGCAGCTACTAAATACGGGAAAATGGTTTCCTGTTTCAAACCACCACCCGTGTCGATGTCCAGACCGCTGAGGAATCCCTGGGTGACCCTTCCTCCCCGGCTAGTGTGTTTAAAGTGACTTGTGTTTGTGAGACGTTGGCTGCCGTGTCAGCGCTTTACAGTGAGACAGTGGGCTCTCCCTGGGTGTCCTGAGCGGGGGCGGGGGCTGGGCCCGGGCCCTCTCCAGGCCGCCTCGGGCCTCCCGTCGGCGCCAGAATGTCCAGGATGCTCCTGCTGCATCACGTACACTCGTGCCGTTGTAGTTCTGCTCGGTGTGGATGCTTTCGTCGTATAAAATTGCCGTTCTTTTGACAATTCAAGTGACTTGTTTCGTCGTTTACTATAACTTTGAAAACAGAAATCGTAAGAACGAGATCCCAATGATTGTGCTGTGGATTTTATTACTGGGATGTTTCCGCGTCCCTTTCACCTGTCGTTTTGAGGGACTGTTTGGCTCTTCTCTCTAATGGCTTGTAGTCTTTTCCTGTGTCGTAATAAAGCTACATTTTATTCTGAAAACTGGCCCGTCTTCCCTTACTAGCACGCGAGTCCCATCTGTGACACCAGCCCCTTCTCGGTTTGTTCCAGCCCAGACCTGCCCTGGGCCGGGAAGTCCATGCCCCCTGCGTCCCCTCCTCCCGGGGGCAGGATGGTGACAAATCTGGGACTCAGGATACCGTGGGCTGTCAGACTTTGACGAACTTAAAAGCCACCCGAGGGGCTTCTTTAAACACAGGAACCCCTGCTGGAGTTTGATTACAGGACCTGGGATGCGGTGCGGCGATACGGGTGTGTGGCTCCCCGGGTGCTGAGAAGGCGGAGGGTGTGGTCGGAGAGCAGCCCCCGTCCTGGCCAGTGCGGTTCCGACTCTGCCCACCCCCCGGTCCGCCCTTCATTTCTGAAGCGTGCTGTTTTTGGATGCCTCTGTCACATGTTCCTTCACTTCACGTACGCGGAAACATCAGGAAGTACCAGCGAGTGCCCCTGGGTTCCAGAGCAGCAGTCCTGCCCGGGGGTCTCTCCACATGCAGGAGGACCATTGCTGCGTGCCTGCAGGCAGCTCCCCCGGGGCTCCGAGACCTTCCCAGCAGAGTTCTCCAGGCCCGGGAGGAAGACGCGCGGTGGGGCTCTTGGTGTAAAGCTGCGGAGCCCGCCCAACCCTAACCCTTCCACCCCAGGACCTGCACGCTCCGGTCGCAGGCTCTGGTTAAAAGCGTTGAGCTGTCCTGGCAGACAGACTCGTGCCTGCGTCTCAGTGGGCAGCCACGTGGACACAAGGCCCCTGCTCTGTGTCCCGTGGGGCTGGCGGAGCGTCGTTGCGGGGGGTGGTGCCGACAGGCAGGGCAGGCAGACCCGCGTCCGGGAGACGGGTTCGATCCCGTGAGGACGCGTCTCTGGCCTCCGTGTAGTGGGGCTGCCGGCAGGTGGCCAGCTGCTCCTGGGCCTTAGTGCCGGTCCAGTTGCCAAGTGGGCGCCCGGCAGGGCCAGCTGGTGAGCCAGGGTCAGGACCTGACATCGAGCCTGTTGAGACAGCCCCGTCCCCATCTCGATGGCCCCTTTGTTCATGGAGTGGGGCGGGGGTTCTCAGCGAGCCGTCTGCTCCCACAACTGGCCGTTTTGTCCACCTGGCGGTGAGTGTCCTCTGTCGGGCTTCTCCTTGGTGAGCACAGTCTGTGCCCGTCCCCACCCGGATCTTCTGTCGCCAGTCCTTAAATCCCATTGCTTCCAAATCTTTGACCGTCCAGCCGAGCTGAACTTTGAAGACAAAGTTACAGTAAACGATGGTCCTCGGGTCCCTGGTCACAAGGGTACTTGCGGTTGTGCAGTGGGCGTGTCTGTGCACGTCACAGCCGCCCGCTCTTGCTGTACTTTGCACGCGAGTGTCCGTCGCTGCACACCCGGAGGTGGGCCAAGCGGTCGACCGCACTCACTGTGTTCAGGGCACTCGTGCCACGCGGTCACCGATGGCCGTGGTTAGGTGCTCGGCCCGCATAGCGGAGGCTCTTTCTGCGGAGGACCAGCGCCCACGGAGGAGGACAGGTTTGACGTGCTTGGAAGATCTGTGCTGGTGTCCTCTGGTCCCTGCTGGAGGCTTGTGACACGTCCTCGTTCGCCACGGATGCTGAGTTACTCAGTCTCTTGTATCCTCAGGCTCAGTGGTCGTGCAGCATTTTCGAACACGTTCGGGTCCCTCTTTAACTGGGAGCCACATGCTGCCTGTGTAGACGGTTGGAATTAACACACCCAGAATGGCCTGTGCTGCCTCTCAACCCAGCAGGGCTGCCTGTTCTCGGGAGGGTGTGGGAGATGCAGTGCCCTGTCTTCTTGCTTCAGAGCACGGAATCCACAGGAATGCCATTGAGTTGGGGACCCCTGAGTTTGGGGTGCATTATTTCTTGTGATGGATTGATTGATTTTAAGTTTTTTAAATTATCTTTATTCTTTTTTATTGGAGTACAGTTAATTTACAATGTTGTGTTAGCTTCAAGGGTACAGCAAAGTGGATCAGTTACACACGTGCATGTATCCACTCTTTTTTAGATTCTTTTCCTATCTAGGTCATTACAGAGTATTCAGTAGAGCTCCCTGTACTCTACAGTAGGTCCTTATTAGTTACCTGTTTTATATATAGTAGTGTGTACGTGCCAATCCCAGTCTCCCGGTTTATTATCCCCCTCCTTTCCCCCTGGTAACTGTAAGTTTGTTTTCTACCTGTGACTGTATTTCTGTTTTGTAAATAAGTTCATTTGTACCATTTTTACTCTTAATCTTGGGGCTTGTTTAGTTCACTGTTATTAAATTGTCTGCTCCTCAGATCCAGTCAGCGACACGCCAGCACTGTGGTGCATGGGAGTGATGCTCTGTGCAGCATGCGATGGTCTGCATGTCTGGGCTCAGCAGAAGCAGGGTCGCCGTAGCCCTGAGGCTCCATCGGGAGGAGTTCGGTGGGCTTCTGCTCCGGGGAGGGAGGGGTGGGGGGAGGGCACGCGGGACGGGACCCCAGGGGAGGAAACACTGAGCGACAGGGGCGTCTACCGCCGAGGAAGGGCAGGAAGGCGTGCAGCTGCCAGGGAGCAGCCCCTCCCCGAGAGCGTGACCCCACGGGGCCAGGTGAAGCCATTGGGCCCCGGGGCTGATCACAGCAACGACAGAACCCAGCCGGCTCAGCCTGTGACTCGGCACCTCACTGATGGCCTGGAGGAGAAAGGCCGGCCAATTCCAGGCATAAAAACTTGGTATGTCAGTCTCTGCCTTCCCACGCAGGTCTGGCGTTTGGTAAAAAAAAAAAAAAAAAAAATCACAAGACACACAAAACAGCAAGTAGAAACACTCACTGCCAAGAGACAAAGCGATAGAACTGGACTCAGAGATGATGTGAATGTCGGAACTGTCAGGCGGAGATTCTGGATAATTAGGGTTAATGTGTTGACGGCTCTCAGGGAACATGTGTGGAACAGACGGGAGCCTTCAGCAGGATGGGGGTTGTGTGAGGAGGGGCCACGTGGATGGAGGTGCTGGGAGCCAAGATCGTGGTGACAGGAAGGATGTCCCTGACAGGCCCGTCAGTGACCTCACAGCTGAGGGAAGAGGCATTGGGGCCACCCAAACTGGAACAAAGAGAAGAATGGGGGCAAACCGAAAGAATAGGGTACCTGGGATGTGGGGCGGTACCAAACAGTTTGAAGGGATAATGGCCAGTAATTTTATCATGAAAAACATCAAGCTACAGGTCCGAACGTTTCAGAGAACCCCAAGCTGGATAAATAACAAAACAGACCTACCCACAACAGGAAACTCCGGGACACATCACACTGAAACCTTTAAAAAGTAAGATAAAAAGAAAAATTTGAAGGCACACGTTGCAAAGAAACAAAGGTAGGAATCACAGCAGCTGTCTTGTCAGAAATTGTGGGAGCCGGAGAGAGTAGGGAGATGTCTCTGAGATGCTGGAAAGAAAAAGCTGGCAGCCCAGAGTCTTCCCAGAAAAATCTCTCAGAAATGGAAAGGCTTTGGAAGCAAACAGAATTCACCATCCACAGACTCGCACAAGAGGTGCTGAAGGAGGCTCTTCAGACAGAAGTGAGAGACACCAGACAGACCTAGGTCCATACCCAGAAAATGAGGATTGTTAGACGTGAAGGTAGATCTACAAAGCATTGTTTTTGTTATTTTTAATCATTCCATACGCTACTGAGTTTCTAAAGCAAAAACAGTAGTGACGGATCGTGGGCTTCCAGGACAGCAGCACCGAAGACGGGGCGGGAGTGAGGCGATGTTGTTCGCAGACAGCTCTTCAGAAAACCGTAGAGAGACACAAAGAGGCCAGTGTCTAGAGAAACAGTAGACTGTGGTTGCCAGGGGGTGGGAAAGGGGGAGATGCTGGCCAAAGGGCACAGACTCCCAGGGGTGAGACTGACACGTCCTGATACCGTGTCCTGTGCTTGAGAGTTGCAGAGAGAGTAGATCTTACACGTTCTCACCACACGGGTGACGGTGGGCTGGAGTGGAGGGGTTCCTGATGCCACGTGGGGAGCGTATTACAATGTACAGATGCATCACCTGGCAACTCACACAAAGTTACGTGTCATTTATGTCTCAGTAAAGCTGGAGGTAAAGGCCCGAGCTGCGGAGCAGCAGGGCGGGGAGGGCGAGCTGTGGTGCCCGGTCTGAGCCGCGTCGGCGGAGCCCAGTCCGACCCGCCGCCTCCCCTGGCGCTGGCTGCCTGGGCACAAGCGCGGCAGGGCTGGGTGAGCGCTGAGTCGTCGCCGAGAGTCTCTGCCATCTGGTCCTTTTCAGAGGAGCTTGCTGAGCCCTGGGCAGGGTGCACAGGGCGGATTCGGGGCTGGCGTCGCGGGGGCTGTGGCAGGTGGCGGGAATCAGTGTATTTTGGAAGTAGGACCAGCAGAACACAGAACGTGGGTAAAGTGGATGGTATTTAGAGTTTCAGATTTTCTTTGCAACAGAGGATCCTGGTCTTTAAAAAAACAAAACAAAACCTGCCACGTCAACTTACACTAAAGACCAATTGAAAAACTGACACAACCCAGAGGTTATTTTTGTGGAAAGCCGTAGTCAGGCACACATTTCCCTGTGTTTTCGGCAGCCTTCACTCCCCGCACGGTCCAGAAGCATCCCCCAGGGCCCCTTGGGCTCAGATGAGCAGAATTTGAAAACAGCTGGAGGAGTCTGCACACGTTTCGGACGAGGCTTTGCATCCCAAGCGCGTACGTGCAGCTCAGAGATGTGCTGGGACGTCGCCAGGGTCTGGCAGGCAGCTACCCCAGGTACAGGGTCCGTGCTGCCAAGAGATGCTGCCGTGGGCTTGGTGACCGGTGGACACCGCACCAAGATGTCCCCATTGCCGCCTTGGGCCCACTGAACACCGGGTCAGACGCTTGTCTTGGGCGGGTGCTTGTGAGAAGCTAACTTGGTTTCAGACCGCGTTGAAGCGAGACTGGACTTGGGAGGACCTGTGTTCTGGGCTGAATGTGTGCCCCCAGATTCATGGGTTGAGGTCCTAACCCCGAGAACCTTTAAGCATGACCCTATCTGGAGATTTACAGACATGATCAAGTGAAAATGAGGTCATTAGGGTGAGCAGTGTCCTTATAAAAAGGGAAGATTTGGACAGACAGACACGCATCAAGGGAAGACGGCCATCTGCAGCCGTGGGGGCGAGGCCGGGGCAGTTCTCCCGTCACGGCCGCAGCAGGACCAGCCTTGTGACACCTGGGTGGGCTCCGGCCTCCAGGCGGGGGACAGGAGGTTCCAGTGTTGAAGCCGCCCAGCGTGTGGGGCTTTGTCCAGCAGCCTGAGAAGGTGACAGGGCCCGTTAGCCAGTGGATGAGGGAAGGATGGAGCCTCAGGCTTCTTGTCTACACCTCCCAGAGTGTGTTGTGTGAACCTTTGGTGCACGTAGGTGCGCCAGGTGGTTTCCAGATGAATGATTTGCATAATTTTGTGTTCATCTGTGTAGCTGCTGCTACAGCAGTTATGTATTTTCAGGTTTAAATGCTCCTAACGTGTAGGTTTCACTGCAAATACAGGTATAAAATATATGTAGTATCAAAAATTTGTGAATGTGGGACTTCCCTGGCGGTCCAGTGGCCAAGACTGCGCTTCCATTGCAGGGGGTGCAGGTTCAATCCCTGGTCAGGGAGCTAAGATTCCACAAGCCATGTGGTGTAGCCAAGAAAACAAATTGTGAATGCTCAGATACAGTGTTACCGGTCAGAATCCGAAAAATTTAGCGTGTAGGTCTGGAAGGAAAGGTAGGTTGATGTAAAGAAAAGTACTAAACAGTAGCAGGTTGGTGTCCAAATGAGAGCACTCCTGAGGTGATGCAGGGACGTGGTCCGGGGTCTGAGAGCAGCCTGACGCCCGGGCTCAGCCCGCCTGCCCTCTGTCCACCCCGCGCCCCGTGACACACGTGGGAGCAGCATATGCGTGCACACACGTGACTGTACACGCGCACACACAGTCACACTGCTTCACGCCTTTCTGAGGAGACACGGGAGGAGATTGGTTTTCCGAGATCAACGCAGGCGGGCCCAACCCTGATGGTGGGCCCACCATCAGCCGGCTGCTTTCTCCTCTTAGGTGACAGGGGACAGCAGAGCTTGCTTCTCGGTCCACACACTCGCTCAGATCCTTGGAAACCATGCCTGGAGCCCAGGGGCAGCGGGAGAGGTGGGATGGGGCAGTCACCACGGGGAGACGCGACCCAAACCAGCCACAGTGAGGAGTGGGCAGTGTGGGAGGTTTTATTTCTGCAAAGGGTCCCCGGGGCTGGGTCCAGCAGGTGTGGGTGCTTTTACCGCAGGTGCGTTTAGGTGCCGGTGACCTACAGTGGAGACCTGGGGTCAATACGGTGGCCCTGGCCCTTCTGCCAGCTGTTCCTCCACTCCCCTCCCCCTTCCCTGTCCTTTCCCCTTGCTCTGTTCCTCTCTCCCCAGTCTCCCCCACCGTCATTTCTCTCTCCCATCACCATTTCCCCCAGCCCCCCAGGTTCATGTGGCCAGGCCTCCTTCTTGGGCGGGCGTGCACACGACCTCAATGCCGCAGAGGCCACCGTTTGGGGCGCGCACGCAGGGCTGTCCGGCTGCGCTCTGGCCGTGGCGCGCCCACCTCCCGGCACGCTCAGGCGCCCTGCACTCCGCGAAGCAGAAGCTGCACGTCTCCGTCGGCTCGGGCGTTGCCTCTGCAGCGCTGCCGGCTTCCATCCAGTGATCTGCTGAGCGGGAGAGGGCGTTGGCCTCGGCCTGGACCCCTCCTCCCCCGCCCTGCACCCCCAAGGGACCACCTCCGGTGTTAGCCGCCCTGTCCTGGCAAGTGGGGCAAGCCCCGGGGCCCAACACCCACCCTTCCTCAGGGCCCTGTCTCCTCTTGCCTTGATGTTTGACCCGATTTCACCAGGACAGATAGGAAACCGTAGGAACTGGCGCCAGGCTGCTCCCCGGGAGGACCGGCAACCGCTCTCCGCTTAGAAGCGGGGGCAGAGCCAGGACAGAGGGATGTCCAGGACCCCGCTGCGTGCTCACCCTTGGAGGACTTGGCCCGCATCCGACATGGCGCTGCGCGGGGCTGGCAGGAGACCTGGTCCCCCCTCCTCCTCAGGAAACAGGCCACGGCCAGCAGCAGGCAACAGATGATGGCGCAGAGGCAGAGCCCCAGCGCGCTGTAGACCAGGGCCAGCTGCCCGGCGCTCAGCTTTAGCGCTGGGGGCGCTGCAAGACAGCGGGCGACCCAGAGTCAGGAGGGGCCCTCCCTGAAGCACCCCCCCTCGGCCAGCAGCCCCTCGTCCTCGCTTCCTCCTCGTGAGCCCCAAACAAGCCATGCGGTCACCCCCACGCCCCCTCGGAGGGCCGGGGTCCCCGGAGCTGCACGCCCTTTGTCGTTCTCCCTCGCTGTGGGGTGTAGCTTGGGACAGTACCAGAGGTGGACGGGGGAGCAGGTGGACAGTTGTCCAGGGAGGGTGTTTGACCAGGGAGCACGTGCTTGGAGAGAGACGGTGGTGTTGCTCCTGGGCCTGAGGGGCAGGTGTACACCAGGGGGACCTGGGGAAATGGGGCGCTGGCCCCACTCAGGGCCCCGAGCCAAAGCCCCGCCCTCGAAATCTGTCCCGGGCCCTGGGATCGGGCGCCCCCAGCCCGGGAGGAAGGGCTGCTGGCCGCCTGCTGGTCTTGCTGCACGCAACACTTTCTCTAGTGTGTCCCTGACCCGCGCGCTTCTGTGAAGGAGGGGCGCTCGCCTCCTTTACAGGTTGAGGTGTAGTCCACGTGCTGCCAGGCTCACGGCCGTGAAGATGAGGGGGTTGGTTAGTGTGTTCTCAGGCTCGTGCGGCTGCTGCCTGTGCACTTGGGGTGTGTCCGGCACCGCATGACGCCCCCCGTCCGCCCTGGGCCCCACCACGCTGTCTGTCGCCTGTCCTGGACACTTCATACCAGTGGAATTGTGCAGCACGGGACCTTCACGTCGGGCCCCTCGGTGTGTTTCCAAGGCTCAGGCGTGTGGCCACGTGTGTTGGGTCTGAGTAACGTTCCACTGTGTGGATGCACCACATCGTGTTTGTTTGTCCATGATGAGCAAGCATTTCGGTTGTTTCCACCCTTTGGCGGCTGTGAAGGCTTGCGTGCAGGTTTCCGTGTGCACGTGTGTGTGCAGCTCTCGTGGACGCGTCCCACGAGTGTAGTTGCCGGGTCAGGTGGCGCCTCCTTGCTGAGCTGTTTGAGGATCCTGCAGGCTGTTCCCGCTGTGGGCACACCGCCTTACAGTCTGTTTTTCAGATGACAAAACTGAGCCTCAGATCTGGTCACAGTTGCAGAGCTGCACCTGGGGGCAGGTCTGATGGGCTCCACGCCGGGGCTCCAGGCCGGCCGCGCACAGATGGCAAGGTGGACACTGTCCCTCTTCCTTACGCAGGCTCCTTAGGGGCAGAATTTTATGAAGTGACAGCTGGCTGGTGCCACCCTGACGTTCACAGAGCTCTGGGTGGGCTGTTGGCGCCACCCCCGGCCGGCGACGTCCGTGTGTCCCAGCTCCCGGGCCCCCATCTACTCACCGGCTCCTGTGCGTCCCTGGGATAAAATAAAGCCGTCGGCCTGGCCGGATTAGCGGGGGAGAGGCTGGCAGCCTTCACGTGGGAGGTGGAATTCCCAGCTACCAGACTCTGCTAAGTACACAGTGAAGTGCTGGGTGGATTTCAGGTGTTTTCAGCTGAACTCTAACACTCAGACTACCTCGAGGTTGGCTGCTGGCATTTGGAGATGGTCCTCGATTCCTGCCCTTCAAGTCGGGCTGGGCCGGGCCCCCCTGCACCCAGCAGTACGCAGTACAGGGGACGCAGGGCCTGGCCGGTGCCATGACGAGGCCTGGCAGCCTCTGCTCTGCTCTCCCGGGCGCCCTGAGCCACCACGTGAGGAGGGTGATTTGGGGCTTCCTGAGGGAAATGGAACCAGTTCCTGCCTGGTGACCCGCTCGTAGAGTGTGCTTCGCAGAGGCCCTGGATCCGGAGGAGAGGTGCAGTTAAAACTGCGAAAGATGTCACCTTCCGCCTCTGTCCCAGGCTGGCGACGCAGGCACATCTGGGTGGGGTGGTTTCCTCTGAGGGCCACGTGCAACCACCTGCCATCACGGACACGCCCTTTCCAGGCTTGTGGGCTCACTTCTAGGCACGTGGATGCAGGCATTTGCTGGGCTTTGTTTACAGTGAGAGCCGGAGACCAGCTTCCTGGTGGGTCCTGAGATGGGCTGAGCCTCAGGGGCAGGAAGTGAACAGGGAGAGAGAGGTGGGCGCTCGGGATTCTCCCTGGTGTGAAATGTGCTTAGACAAGAGCATGTGGGAACCGACAAACCCAGGCCGCAGCAGGTGTTGCTCCTGGGGAGAGACTTTCCCCAAACCTCGCTTTTTAATACCTTCTTTCTTCCGTCACGATCCCTGTGTGTCGTCCTTTCCAGACGGGAACGGCAAGGAGCATGCTGGCTGCCTCGCTTGTTAAAGCCGGGTCAGAGGCTGGCCAGGTGCGGGGACGGGGTCCCCAGCCACCACTGTGCTTCCTCTGTTCAGTCACCAGCTGTTCAGGTCTGTAAGCTCGGTCGCTGACCTCTGTCGGCCCTCAGTGACCTGGCCCCGGAGCGGAGCGGCCTCGCCCAGTGCCTCCCTGTCTGCTGACCCCGGTGGGTGCAGGGGCTTCAGTCGGGAAAGGATGTGAGAGCTCTGTCCTTGCCAGAGAGCCAGGCCTGCGGCGCAGTTCTGAGCACCGCCACCAGGGGGCACCGCGGATGGTTTATTTCCAAGCGGGTTTTCCATTAGATTTGTTCCGTGCTTGTACTGTTTTCAGAGTCAATCTCGCCTAGAAACAGGATTTCCCCGACTGCTGCTGCTGGGCTGGAGCTCGGGCTGGCTGGGCGGGCAGTGCTGTGACCTGTCCTGAGGGGCCTTGGTGTAGCCGGGGCAGGGCAGGTTTTGAGCCTGGGCCCTGCGGCCACCCTTGCTCACGGTCAGGCCTGCCTCCTGGTGAAACGGGGCGGACGCTCCGGCCTCCGCGCTGTTGGTAGCAGCTCGACCCAGTGGAACGTTCCGCCAGCATCCCCACGGCCCCAGCCCAGCGAGCAGGCAGGTCAGGGGAGGGGTGAGGTGGGCTCCCGAGGCTTTCTGCCCCCCTCCCCTGGCCTCAGCCCTGGGGATGAAGAGGGGGCCTGGGGCAGCCGCCACGGTGACATCTCTTGCAGCCGTCGGGGGCGGATGGGGGGTGGCGTGTGTGGGGAGAAAACACTCCACACCCTGAGATAAAAAGCCAGAGACGAGACCAACCCCCAGGCCGCCGTGCAGGATGTGCTCCCAAGGCGGGCATCGCCCTCCCACAAGGGATCTTGTAACCTGCACGTGGGACCTTATGACCTGATTTGGGGAAAAAGCCTTTGCAGATGTAATCAAGTTAAGGATTTGGAGCATCAAGGCCCAGGGTCGCTGAGGCCCTGCGAGAGCCCTGTGAGGGGGGTGCCGGGCTGCCCCGCAGTGGGGACGGGGAGATAGAGAGTCTGGAGACGTCCCAGGTCACCCGTGCTCACGCCACCTGGAGCTCTGAACCCGGGACCCAGGAGGCCCTTGAATAGGGCCTGGGGGCTCCGTGGGCTCGGATAAGAAAAGCAAACCTTAATTTTCACTAAAGCTTAGCCTTTGCTCCCACTGTTTGTAGCAGTCGCAGCCCCAGTGGTCCTAGCAGTGGCTGTACCCTGTCCACAGAGAATCCGTGTGTTTCCGCTCCCAGCCCCTCCCAGCACCTGCACATGCTGTGCCCTCTGCCTGGAACACCTTTCTCCACGTCGTCTCTTAGATGTATGCTTTCCTTTTAAATGAGCAGTTACTACGTGCTGATCCTGACACTCAGTGCAGCAACCCCGTGAAGGCAGGTGATCTCAGTCTTACGGAAACACTTAACCTCAGAGAGGTTAAGTGACTTGCTCAAGGTCACACAGTTGGTGGGAGATGGAACCAGGGGTCTGGCCCCCAGTCTGCCTTGAGGGCCTCTCCTCGGGGAAACCTTCCTCGCCCCATCGCACCCTGGCTGGGGGATGTCGTCGCCACGCACTGAGGTTACTCAGTCATTTGTCTCTCCCATCAGACTGTAACTTCCATGGGGTCAGCGACAGGGTCTGCCTGACTCTTGCACCCGTCCCCCCAGGCACAGCTGAGCCCTCCACAGTTACCGTCAAATGAAGGAACGGCCATTCCGAGAGACGTGGAGGGGCCAAGGGTGGGGGCTGGCAGGGCGGGGAGTGAGTGGGGGGGGACAGGTCAGCCCCGCTGCCACGGGCAGTGTTCTGCACGCCCTGCCCTTAACACCCAGGGTGTGGGCCCGGCACTTCCTGTTCACAGTCCCCACCAAACCCAGCTCTCGCCCCACCTGCACGCCGAGGTATCAGGACACAGCGGGACACACGTAAGCCCCAGACCTCCAGAGGGAGACGCGGCAGGGGCAGGTATGGCGAGGCGTCACCCAGCCCTCCGAGGCTCGGGAGGCCGCACCATGGAATGACTGGGACAGCGGCCAGGTCAGACGTGGTCACGCTGACCCCACTGGCTCCTGGAATGTCTGTCCACACTTCCTGGGGGATTCATACCTGGAGGGTCCACCCCAGGCCCTCTGGGGAGGGGGCTTGGCTGGTGGTCACAGACAGGAAGGGCTAACGGTGTCACGCTGGCAAGAGGTCCCCCTAAGTGGGCGACGGTGCCACAGAACACTGCTTCGGGGATTGGCTCTCGCAGAGCGGACAAACTTTGGAACCCGCAGGCCGGGCCCGAGTCCCCGCTCAGCTGTGCACTGACCCTCCAGGTTTTGAGACTCAATTTCTCTGTCTGTAAAGGGGAATCTGTGGCATCGGAGGTGGACGGGGTTCTGGGTTTGGCTGGAAGAGTCAAATACGTCACTGCAGGGAAGGCGCGGGGGTCACCAGACCTTGGAGAGCAGCCCCCTTGGTGGTCCCGTTCGTCACCCCCTCCACCCGTATCCACGCCCTCTGTGTGTGAATCTGCATTTCCTCTCACAAGAGGCTGTGCTGGATAAAAACCGGCCACAAACCCCCCACAGCTACAAATCCTTCGCCTCTCCTCCAGCCGAGAGCGGGGTCTGTCTCCCCCGCCTTGAGTCTAGCTGGCTTTGCATCTGGAGGGATAGGATGCAGCACGTGATGGGTGCCAGCTCTTGGCCGAGAGGTTCAGAGGCCCGTGTGTCACCTCTGATGCTGCTGCCCACCCGCTGGTCCCAGGGGAGGATGAGAGACTCAGGAGCCGAGCCCCTCCAGCTGACTCCAGCCAAGCCCTATGCCATGAGGAATAACACGCCGTGGAATCTGGGGGCTGTTTGTTATGTGGCAGCAGCTTACTGACAGGAGAGCAGAGCAGAGTAAGAGACAACAGTCTAACCGAGAAGAACCAGGCTGGGCACTTCGTTATCAGGACACATGAAGCCTGTTCTCATGGAAGTGACGTCATGGGGAAAGTCACAGAAAAGGAGGAAAACCAGCCAGCGCCTGGCAGACCAAGAGCACCATAGATATCAAGTGTTTGTGGGTCCACATCCCCACCCAAGCCCCGTCCTCTCTGACACCACAGAGCAGAGTAGCTGAGCCAAGAGGTATTTTCTGGGAGGACTAATTAGGTCATTTCCAGTGCTCGGCACTTAGTAAGTGCCTAGTTCAAGAGACCCCTCTCACATATCTAAGGAGGCCCATCTCCACCGTGAGCTTTTTTGATAGTACTTTTCTTTCTCATTCTTGGTAAGTCTCCATTGCCTCTAAATGGAGTGGGGGTCTTGCTCACTGGTTAGCTGAGCTATCCACTCGCTGCCCTGTGTTCTGAGAATTCATTCAGCCACCATTATGAGACTCCCAGCTGTCAGGTCTTTTTTCTTCTTTTGCTTCCTTCTTGCCCACAGACTTCTATAAACGTTGCTTAATTTTTTTTTTTTCTATCCTGTGATGATCCCCCCACCCCCCTGGTTTCTGGCCATTTGCCTGCACTGGACTTCCTGCTTTGCAGCCTCTCCTTATTGAGGCCTGGTGCCTGCCTTCCATCCACTCTGACCCTTGGACACCGCGCAGGCCAACCTTAGGTGGCTTACCTGGACCCACATCCGAGCCTCTGTGCTCTGATCCCTGGTACCTCCCTAGGTTGTCTGCCCGGGTCGAGGCCTCTCCGGTCCGCTGTCTCCTGACCGCTGGTGGGAGGTTCACTTGACTCCTGAACTTGTTCTCACAGAAGTGTGTGCATTGCTTGGGGTGACGTCCACAGATGGAGGCACAGCTGATACAGTCCCCCAGGAGCTGGTCATAGTACCTGCCTTGCTCTTTGCGGCAGCTGAGTGACTCTGGGAGACAGAGATGCGTGATGCTGCTGGGTGACAGACACAGGCAGAAACTGGGGGTCTGGCCTCAAAGGGATCAAAGTTAAAAAAGAATCCTAGTCCAGTTCCCCAAAAGCAATTCCAGAGTAATCCAAGTCCTCTTCCAGTATGCAAATGTAAGACTATACGTTGTCCTCTAAGTACTGTTTTAGCTGCATCACACACATTTTGACATGTAGTATTTTTTCTGTACCTAGTTTAGAATGTTCTTATTTTTCACTATTATTTCTTCTTTGACCTATAATTTAAAAGAGCGTTTCTTAGTACTAACTGTATAAGGGTTTTCTAGTTATCTTTTAAGTTATTACATTGTCACATAACTTCTTTACTTGGGTTTTTCAAACCTCATAAGCGAGAAACATATTTCATATAAATATAAGGAATGGAGAACAAAACCAGAATCTGCCTTAGCAAGTTGGGGAAGGGGACTGGAAGGAAGGTGAGAAAGCCCAGATTAATAGTGTTTTTTCTGTCTTAATAATAAATGAGAATTTCAGGAGCTTAACTAGGCATCAGTGCCAAGGGGCAGAAGCCAAGCAAACTGAAGCCCATTCACACTTGCTGGAGAGAGCAGTTTTGAGTGCCATACAGAAACCTATACTTTCACAGGGTAGGTTTCCCTTGTCTCTAAGATTCATTCATATGAAAATGTGACTCGCATGCAGGTTTTCAGGGCGCATTTTGGAGGCAGCACAAGACAGAGGCCAAGAACCCAGACCTTGAAGGCACGCGGGCTGGGGGAAGCTCTGGTCCGCCACTTCACGTGGTGGGCTTGGCCCCTCCATACCTCAGTCTCCTGTTTTCCAGGAGAGGAATAATTATAACAATGGTGATTTCTTACGGTTGTTACGGGGATTTGAAGTCCCCAGCACAGTGCCTGACACATAATGAATAATGCTCAGGGTTTAAATAGGATATTCACTTGTGGCTCTTGGCGATGCAAACATGCCAACACGTACATCCTTTTCAGAGTAGAAGGCAAAACCAGGAAGGCCTGCATTTGGGACCTCAGGGGAGACTCGGGTGATCCTGTCAGGACCAGTGACCACCCCTTGCCCTTACCCTGCTGTGGCCCTGGACCCTCCTGACCCCGACACTCACAAGGTGGAGTTAGCCCGATGGCAGCAGTGTTCCCGGGCTTGCCGTGACCTCCTCTCGTCCTTGGGAACCCCCATGTGGCTGTGCAGGTGACAGAGCTCCACAGACCACCAGCCCTCACTGCCTGACCTCACAACCTCCCCTCTGGGCCTCGATATTCCCTGTTGTATTTTCCCGCCTCCACGCCTTTGTCCACGCTGGTCCCTCGTCCAGGGGTGCTGTTCCCCCTCATCTGACTTCTGCGTCTGTGGACTCTTAACAATCCATCTCAGGTGGCGCTTCCTACCAGAAAACTTCCTCGCTCCCCAACCCATCAGCCAGACGTGGTCTCTCCCAGCTGTGGCGTTTTACGGTAGTTCACCTCTTTACCATGAAGTGGAGTCATTTCTCCAACTAGATAATAACCTCCTTGAAGGGTCTGTCAGATTCCTCTTTCCAGGGGTTTGTGGGTCAACACTGAATGTCCACCTCATTAATGGATAGTGGCTCAGAGCCATGGTGTTGCAGACTCAGAAAGCTGTTGTTCAAATCCTAACTCTTCCACTACTGTGCTGTGTGATCTTGGGCAAGTCACTCAGCCTCTCTGAGCCCCATTCAGCCAGTATTTATGAAGCACTTACTATGTGTCAGGCACTGTGCTAGGCTTAAGAAAGGAATTGAGCTCTCAGTCGGGTGGTCGAGACACATGAACGCACAGGAAAGAACGTGTGGTACAAGCTGTGATAAGTTCCATCGGGGAAAGAACAAGTTACGAAAAAGCAAGCAAAAGACAATTCGAGAAAACTGGATGTGGCCTGAGTGCAGATGATACTAAGGAATTATTGCTGGGCTGATAAAACATTGAGGTTATGCTTTAAAGGCCCTTATGTTTTAGGGGTTCGTGATCCAGTATTTACACATAAAATAATACGAGTTCTTGGATTGGCTTTAAAATACACAAGTAAAAAAATTGGGGACTGTAAAGGTGGCATTTCTAAAGCTGCTGATGGGTAGACAGGTTCATCATGCCGTCCTCTCTTTCTGTCATAATTTCTATAATAAAAAGTTTCAGAAGAAAGATCAGAGAATGATGAAGGAGGGCCCACTTTCCATCCGGCAGTCAGAGAGGACCTCTTGATTTGGGGCTGAGACCTGAAGGCCGGGTGGGAGGGAGCCCGGGGGAGAAGGTGGGGAAATGCATCCCTGTGCAAAGGCCCTGAGGCAGGAAGGAACGGAGCATGCTTGGGAAGCTGCAAGGAGGGTAGGAGGGTCGAAAGGTAGAAGGTGCCACACTGTCCATCTCCCGTCTCCCTCCACCCCTCCTCAGGTCCCAAGTGCAGGCCAGGGGGACCTCCGGGGGCAGGAGGGGCATCCAGCCCAGGCTCGGGCCCCAGGACTCACTGCAGAAGGCTGCACAGGTGCGTGGACTCTGATTGCTGCAGATGGCTTTGCAGGAGACACAGGTGTTCAGCAGCGGGTCCCAGTACTGCTCTTCGGGGCAGGGCTCCATGGCCACCCCCAGCCGCAGGCCCTGTGGGGCTGAGAGGCAGGGAACGTGAGGGCAGCGGGCACCACTGGAGGCCGGAGCCCAGGCGGCCTCTCCCGCTCACGTTCCCTAGGGGGAACAGACAGAGTTGGTTTCTGCCCCAGTTGTACTTGCTGGGCAATCCGGGGCTGACACCCTGAGCCTCAGTTTCCCGTCTGGGGCACGGCAGTTCTGAGGCCCCTCTGGCATCAGTGGAGCCCTGCTCGGCCCTGTTCTCTACCCTCATGAACGTGCACACGCCTCCTGCCACGGGGTCTTTGCACGTGCTGGTCCCTTTGCACCCCATGCTCTTCGTGCTTCACGACTGGTCATTTCCTCCTGACCCCTCAGATCTCTGTTGCAACTTCGTTTCTTCAGGGAAGCCTTTCTGACACCCTCCCACCCCGGATTGGGACTTGCTCCTTCTTCTGCACTTGTCACTGTTGTCACTTGACTTTTGTGATGCAGTTATTTGATACTGTCTCCCCATTAACTGAGAGCATCACGCAGGCATAGATGCTAATTGATTTGTTTGCTGCTGGGTCCTCAGAACCTAGATAGTGCCCAGGACATAGTAGGTGCTCATTAAATGAATGAATTAGAAAAGCAGACCTAGCCAGTGCCTAGCAAACAGCAAGCACTCAATAAATGTCCGTTTCCTTCCCTTGCTCTTTTGCTGAGATGTGAGACGCACACAATGACAAATCTGAAGAGTACAGCTTGACAAATCTTTGCACGTGTACACGCCTGTGTCACGACCACCGCGTCAAGGTGGTGAATATTTCTTGCTCCCTGATGACTCCCACGGGCCCCTCCCACCCAACATCCACCCCCAGAGGTGACTTCTGTTCTGAGTTTGAACGCCACAGGGCCAGAGGCTGCTGCTACTGCCTGTTCCTGAACTTTCATTGTCTGGATTCTTTGGCTCTGCAAGGCATCTGGGACTCATTCCAGATGGTTGTGTGTTGCTGAGTCTTCTGTAATTTTCTGCCTAATTTCATGGCATTTTCCTCCCCAACAACTTCTTTTAAACATTTTTTGAGGCACTTGTTTATTCTTTAATGGGAGTCCACTGAGGAAAGACCAGCGGCTCCCCCTCGACCTGGCAGCTTAACCACCTGGGTTTATCCTCCTTCCCTCTTGGAACCAAACTGAAAGGGCAGGAAAGGATAGTTGTCCTCGAAGGTGGAATGGAAGAAGTGACTGCAGCAGGGGACGGGTGTCAGCAACGTTTTGGAAGACGGAAGGCAGAGGGCCTGGGGTGACAGGCTTCAGTTGAAGATCTCTCTCGGTTGAAGCTCACGGGGAGGAAGTGGAATTGCGTCACCGAATGCTAGGAACCTCCTGGAACTGGGGCACTAGGACCTCTGGCCGTGGGGGATGGGAGGGCAGAGCAGTGAAATAGGGTTGGAGACTTACGTAAAGAGGGCTTGACCCCAGGCAGGTGACGGCCCCTCACCCACCCGAGCAGGAGGTTGGGGTCTCCTCAGACACGACTGAGGAGGGTGGCAGTGAGGTCCACTATCCCCCCAGCCATACCTCAGGACTGCTGTGGCCAGGTTTGTAAAAGATGTGTCCTTCCCCATCCTGCGACTGGCAGGAAGCCAGCAGACTCTGCTCTGGAAAAGCTGACCCAAAGGAAAAGCCCTGGAGGCACTGACTGGGAGATTCTTTCAAGAAAGTGACCATGCTGCTTCCTGACCACTAGAGCAAAGCTCCTGTGTGAAAACGCCGTCCATTTACCCAGAACTTCCAATCAGCCATTAGTGCCTCAGTGTGAATTGTGAACTGCAGCCAAGGGTCACCTGATATTGGAGCACCACCTCTGCATGAAAGAGACCTTGGACGATGCAAGCAGAAGAAATCCACCCAGTGCCAATAGAGACAATGCAGGGAACAGAAGAAAACTACAAGATGACAGCAAGACATCCTTAGAAAGAGAAGAGAACTTTTATATCCACGAGAAAGAATGGCGTACTAATTTTTTTTTTTTTTTCCCGGCTTGTGGGATCTCAGTTCCCCAACCAGGGATCAAACCCGGGCCCTCAGCAGTGAAAGTGTGGAGTTCCAGTCACTGGACCGCCAGGGAATTCTCAGTGATGTGCTACTTTTTTTTATTTTTTTTGCGGTACACGGGCCTCTCACTGCTGTGGTCTCTCCCATTGTGGAGCACAGGTTCCGGACACGCAGGCTCAGCGGCCATGGCTCACGGGCCCAGCCACTCCGCGGCATGTGGGATCTTCCCGGGCCGGGGCATGAACCCGCGTCCCCTGCATCGGCAGGCGGACTCTCAACCACTGCGCCACCAGAGAAGCCCAGTGATGTGCTACTTTTAAAGAATTGTATGCATAGAACAACTAAGAATGACTAGAAAATTTAAAATATAATAGCCAGAATAAAAACAGCTGTTGAAGGGTTATAAGATATAATTGAAGAAATATCCCAGAAAATCGGAAAAGATGTGAAAAATATGGAATTATATATCAGGACGTCTGGAGGTTGACTGATGGGAGTTCCAGAGAAAACAGAGTTGAAAGACAGCCTCCAGATTCAAAGAGCCAATCAGGTGTCCTGCACAATAAATTCTCTCAAACCAAGACCCACCATCGTGAAATTCAGGAGCAACAGAGACTTGAAGGAGACTCTAAAGCCTCCTTGAGAACAAGCAGATCACCTACAGGGAGGGCTCTGTGAGTTAGGAACTCTGTGCACATTTCAAATCAAAGTGGGGGCGTGAGAGTGATGCCAGGGAAGATGGCCAGGAGGAAGCCCCAGCGACCTGCTTCTCCCCTAGCGGCCATCAAGCTGGCAGCCTTGGCTGAAGTAACGATATTGGAGCTCTGGGGTTGTCTATGGGACAGTTGGGCAAAGAAGCTGGTAGATTTGGGGAGTTTTGGTGCCTTTCAGCCTATCGTGGGGTGGTGGCTGTTCATGTCCCTGGGGCAACTTGCTGGGACCTGGATGGGCAGTAAGGACCTTGTCCTCTGAATGTTGGGATTGTGGGTTCTAATTGCTGGTTGCCGCTTTTGATCACTGAGGAGCCAGCACAGAGGGTGGTGGGCATTGTTTCAGCCTCCCTGGTTGAAGTGGCTCCCAGGGGATTGGAAGAGATCTACTGCCCCCCCATTTGGGGAGTCACACATTTAGGAAAATCTTTGTCAGGTCACTGGCTGACTGCAGAGATGAAGGAACAGAAACTTTGGTGACCACACACAAGGAATACATACTTTGCAAAAATAGTTTGGAAGAGTCACAAACAGACTCCAGCTCTCAGCAACAAAAACTTCAGCAGTCCCTGAGGAGTGAGAGAGTTAAATTTCCAGACTTACCACAATGTAATGCTCAAAATGTTCAGTTCTCAAAAAACTTACAAAACATATAGAGAAACAGGAAAATACGGCACATTCGCAGAAAAAAAGGCTTTGACAGAAACTATCCCTGAGGAAGCCTAGACATTGAAAGTATTAGTTGAAGATGTTAAGTCAACTGTCTTAAATACGTTCCATGAGCTACAGGAAACCACAGACAAAGAACTAAAGGAGATCAGGAAAATGATGTAAGAACAAAATGAGGATATGAATAAAGAAATAGAGGTTGTAAAAAAGGAACCAAAACTTGGAAGCAACCCAGATGCCCTTTAGTAGGTGAACTGATAAATAAACTGTGGCATCCAGACAGTGGGACCTCAAACCATGGAAAGACACGGAGGGATCTTAAATGCATGTGACTGAGAAAAGCCATGCTAAAAAGGCTCCACGCTGTATGGTCCCAGCTCTGTGACATTCTGGAAACAGAAGAAAGGTCAGTGGTTGTCAGGGGTTGAGGGGGAGGGAGAGATAAAGGTGGAGCACAGGGGATTATACAGAGCAGTGAAACTGGATGCAAGTCATTATACATTTGTCAAATCCCATGGAAAGTACAAGACCGAGAGTGAACCCCAGTGTAAACTATGGAGTTTGGACAATAATGATGTATTAATGTAGTTAGTTGTAGTGGATGTGCCACTTTAGTGCAGGATATGGATAGTGAGGGAGGCTGTGCATGTTTGGGGACAGGGGGTATATGGGAATTCTCTGTAATTTCCATTCCATTTTTCTGTGAACCTCAAACCACTCTAAATAATCTATTAAAAAATGGAAACAAACTGAAATTCTGGAATTGAGAAGTCCAGTAACTGAAATGAAAAGACTCCCTAGAGGGGTTCAATAGCAGATCCGAGCAGCCAGAAGGAAAGGATCAGTGAGCCTGGAGATAAGACTATTGAAATTATTTAGAATAGGAATCAGAAATTTAAAAGAATGAGAAAAAATAAACAGAACCTGAGGGACTCGTGGGAGCCCATCAAATGTAACACCGTATGCACATAGGAATTTCAAAGAGAAGAGAGAGAGAAAATATCTGAAGAAATAATGGCTGGAGACTTCCCAAATCTTAGGAAAGACATGAATATACATGTCCGAGAATGTCAATGAATAAGCAGGATAAATTCAAAGACGCCCACATTGAGACACATTGTAATAAAATTGTGGAAACCCAAAGATGAGAGAATTGTGAATGCAGCAACAAAGAAACAATTGTCATATACAGGGGATCCTCAATAAAATTAATAGCTGGTTTCTCCTTAGAAATCTTGGAGGCTAGAAGTGAGCTGTTACATTTAAAGTCCAAAAAGAAAAAAAAAAACTATCAACCAAGAATTGCATATCTGGCAAAACTATCTTTCAGGAATGAAGGAGAAGTTAAGACATTTCCAGATAAGCAAAAGCTGAGAGAGTTTGTTACCAGTAGACCTGTCCTACAAGAAATGCTAAAGGGAGTTGTCCTTCATGCTGAAATGAAAGTGCACTAGACAGTAACTTGAAGTCATAAGAAAAAAGAAGGAGCGTTGGTAAAGGAAATCTATGACAATATCAGTATCAATAGGAAGGGACAGAGATATAGAACAGTGTTTGTACACTACTGAAACTAGGTATTATTGAAACTGAGTTGTTAGAGGTTTAAGACATTAGTTGTA